TCTCCGCTAACCGTTACGGCTCAGTAATTACTACTGTACAGCCATTACTCCGGTATTTTCTCCGCGATTTGTTTTCTCCAAGATTTCCTCTTGTGGCTCGGGGACTGCGTCAGCATTACATCTTGGTTCCTCGCCGCATTGGGGATTTTTCTTCAGTTGACTGCTGTTTCTGACCCTGGCACCATGTGACCACATCACCTACTGTCAGGCTCGGGGACTAAGTAGGCACACTTCACCTTGCGGTGAATGTGCTTTTTCTCATTTTGGGGCTACGCTCAGGGACTAGCTGCCTGCTCGGCTGGTCTTCTACTATTCTTCTACTTTGGACCCTGGCACCACATGACTACGTCATCTACTGTCATGCTCGGGGACTAAGTGGGCACACTTCACCTTACGGTGAGTGTGTTTGCTTTAATCTGAAAGACTTCGCACCTCTTGAAGCTAAAGAAGACTATCTCTTTTTCTCATGGTCGGATTCTAAGTGGGCACACTTGGTCCACTGCGAAGAATTTTTTGATTCTAAACTTGAGCTCCTTACACCCTTATGGCAAGCCGTACTTGGGTTACATCGCTTTCGGTGATTTGCTGTTGCTGCTAAGAATGCGCATAACCGCTTTCGGCAACTCATCACGGTGGTCGGACCATGAGTTTGATCGCGGCTTTGTTCGCACTCGCCGCATAAGACAAGCTCAAGACGGCGTTGCACAATGGGTACAAGGCGCTCAGGGACTAGCTGTGGGGGGTACGACCCCGGATACCCACGGTAGACCACATGGGCTACGCCCCAGGGGCGGCCCAGCCCACGAGATGAAGCCTTACGGGGCACGACTCTACTCAGCCCTCCCACAAGATACTGGGAAGATATCCTAAAGATGCTACGAGATCTGTTAGGATACGTATGATCCCATGATTCCTGTAATCTGTTATTACTTTCGGGTTATCTCTCAGATCTAGCCGACTTATAACCCTGCCCCCCGGACTATATAAGGCGGGCAGGGACCCCCTCCAAACTCACGCAATATCATACGATAGCCAATACAATCCAACAGACCACAGGAGTAGGGTATTACGTCATACTGACGACCTGAACCTGTCTAACTTGTGTGTCTCTGTTGCCTTCTTGTTCTTGATTACACGCCTCTCTGCCGATCAATCTACCTTCGTGGGATACCCCTCGGAGCACTACCGACGATATTCTGTCGATAAGCTTGCAATGGCCTGGTTCATCCCTTTGGTGAACATAACTGTCTTGAGTTGGTTTCTTCAATTGGCGTCCTCCTTTGATGGTCGCTTGGTTGACCTTAGTTGACGGTGGTTGACTCGGTGCGTCGTCGGGTAGTTGGTTGCTAGGACGTAGCATTTCTTTAGTTTGGGTTGTTAAGGATGTCCAAAAATGATAGCCTATGGTGTAACGAACTTGGGTCATTACAATATCGAAATGCACAAGTGTTAGACAAAATAGTAGTGTGTTTTGTTGAATTAACTGATATAATGAAATGGGAAGCATATACACCATTTGCCACGCCTACACCTCGCTCCTCTGCAAGGGCTCCGCCAAGATGTGACCCAAGCCGATCATCACGTCCGTCTTGCGCCGTCGCAAGGGCTTCGCCTCATGCAACCATGCTACTCAGTGGCGGAGCCAGGATTCTGAAGTTGGGTATTCCCATGTGCGAAAAAAAATCCAATATATGGTAGCTTGGGTTTCAAATATACTAATTTATAGTAGTATTATCACATCACAGAAACATGTTGTCTACTCAAGCAATTAAATAAAATAGACATTACTTTACCTCCCTCGTGTCATATGGAGAATGCATGGAACTATAACACTAACAGCTGCATTCATAAGAAAGCTTACGGGAAGACCAAACATAAGTAAGTGTTCTTAATAACTTGGACCTATATGTTGCACTGCATAAGGTTATATTAGCATTGCCATGATTTTTTGTCAAGTAAAACCGATCACAAACACGGAGTCCTGCTAGTCCTAGGACACTGGGCACTGCGATGGCTGCCGGTTGGCTTTGGCATGCCATGGCGCTGCCCCTGCACCCTGCCCCCCTTGCCCCTCCCCTGCTGCCGCCAGCCCCCTACCACTGGCTTTTTGCTACCTTGCGCCTTTGTACTTTGCTGCTTGCCGTGCAAGTCGCAGCTCGCCGGCCGCAGAGCGCTGGCCTCCCGCAGACCTGGCGTCCATCGCGATCCGTCGTGTCCCGTGTCCAGGTCCGGATGAGCAGAGGCCGAGGGCCGAGGGGTGTCGGGGGCTCGGGGTGGGTCAGAGGCTAGGAAGGAAGGGGTGGAGTGCCTGAGTGGGCCTAGTGGGCCGTCCTGGGAAGGAGGAAGTTTGGAGGCAAGGCTGAAAGGCCGTGTTTTTTACTGATTCGGGCTGCAATGAGCGAAAATAGTACAAAATATTGCAATATACATATATATACACAAGTATATACACATATATACATAAAAGTATCTCAAAAAAGTTGGGTATTCCTGGGAATACCAGAGAATACCCTTGGATCCGCCCATGATGCTACTGCTGAGCTCCTAGAGCAGCTGCTTCGCTGCACCCCACCGAGCACCCCACACCGACCAACCCATGCAGAGTACCTGCCGAAGAGGAAGGCAAATGTGGCGGCGCCCATCTCCGTCGAGGGGGAGGCGGAGGAGGAGCATGACATGGAGTACTACATGGAGAACGACATCGATGTCCTGCGCCTCCAAATCGTCTGCTTCACCACCGTCTTGCCCGATCTCTAGAAGGTCTGCAAACCCCCTCCCAGAATCGTCGGAGAGGATGACGACGCTATAGTGGCCACTGTGACGGTGGATGCGTTTGCTACATCATTTGGTCACCACATGTTCGACAAAATGTTTCAACTTGGAGTAAACTTATTGATCTTAGGGTAAGATGATTCTATTCAAGGTAAAGCGGACAACCAAACACAACCTATCTTATACAGGCTAAGCTAGTCAATGTAACCAAATAAATGCATCTTGTATTGCTGAAGCCAGGCTTTAGTTGTCCTGGTTTATTTGGCTAGGTAGACCAGGTCTTATACATCAACCAGACACACCCATAGCATAGATAGATAATGTTTGTGAATATCTTTGTAATATCATAAGCTTTCTATCTAATCCATGTTTCTTTATAATAAGAACCAAGAATATATGAACTCAATACTTTATACCATTCCTTAATATATTATACGTAACTCTTTTTTTTGAATAAATGAGTGTGAATTTTGGTACGTGTTGAATAATAATTGGATAGGTTGTCATACAATGGATTAATTATACTTTTTTATACTAGAATTTTTCATTAATTACCTATTGAGTATAAATGTTTTTGCATATCTACAAGTTCATACAAAGTTTTAACAAAGACAGATTTCCAGATGGCTATGGTACATATATGCAGTTCTTTTTATTATATAGTATCATCCTTTGTTTCATCAAATTATAGGTTGTTTTGGTTTTTTAAGGTATATATAGTTTTTACTATAAATGTAAATTTATAGTATGCCTAGGTAAGTTGTGTTTATAAATGGGAATGGAACGGAGGGAGCAGCGTGTTTCCACAACATCCATCCACCAAAGTCCTAGGATCCACCCGGCCAGTGACGCTCCAAGAACCACCGTTAATCCAACTTCAAACCCTGCAAAAAAAATGCAAACCAACCAGCTAATCACCCTATTTCCGGCAAGCGGCAAGCCACAGCCAGCCCGGCAGCGAACCAACCGCCGCCCTTGCTTCGCTCGCGGCCGCTCGCGCTGCCGCGGCGGAGGTCCTATAAAGCGGCGCCCTGTCCTGAGGCAGGAGAAGCAATTGAGAGATCACTCAACGCACGCCGGCCGTCGAGCGAGCAGTCTCCCAATTCCACCCAATAAACAGAATAACATCTCCTCGAGCGCGAGGCGGGCTTCCTTGGACCAATCCAGCAGCAGGAAGCAAGCGACGATCCGGCCACCGCCACCACCAGCCGCAATGGAGATGAAGAAGGTCCTCGTCGCCGCGCTCGTCGCCGTCGCCGCCCTCGGCCACCGCCGTGCTGGCCTCGGTCGCCTCCGAGGCGGCCGCTCCCTCCGAGGCCCCCGCCGGCGCGGCCGGCGGTGCGGCTGGCCCTTCCGCCAGCGGCGCCGCCGCCGCCGTGCCCGCCGCCGGGGCGCTCGTCGCCTCCTTCCTCGCCTACTACCTCCACTGAGCGACGACGCGAACGCGCTGGCCGTGCGGGGCGGGAAACTTGGGATCCACATCGTGTTTGGTTCATCCGATTAATTAATTATATTGTTTTTATTTGTGCTTTGCGAGATTGGTTAATTATTACGTGTTAATTTGTTTGTTTGTTCATTTGTTCGTGATCGTGTGGATTGTCAAGGGTTTGTTCTGTAATCGTGCCTGATCGATGCTAATATATTACGATCCCAATTTGATTTTGTGATTCTACTATTCTTTATCGATGGCCACGTGCTGACGTGGTTTTGTTAATGCTCCTCCGATCATTGCATTGTTTGAATTACCTTTCGCTTCAATCAAAGGAGGAAAAAAAATGGTGCCTTTCTATTCCATTCCAATTGATATGCTGCACTACGACGTTTCAGAATTAATTAATTCAACGATGTGGAAAGAAAACCATTGTTGGAGCAGCTATGGTTTGCATCATGATTCATGCTGCTCATGTCAGTCGTCACTGCTGCTGCTGCAAATAGTCGTTTCCAAACATGTGCGATGCCAACAAGAGGGACAAACAAAACTAAAATGTGAAAAATTCCCACTCGTGACTCGTGACTCAGCAGCCATCGCCTTCGTCAGTTTTCACTTTTCATCAGTTCTACTAGTATAAAGTCAAAATCACTTCCCCTCGCTCAGCCTGGCCAGCCATCGCCTCGCGGAGGCTCACGCAGTCACGCCAAGCTCACTTGCCGCTCCCCATCCTCCCTCCCCCCGAATCCTCCTCGATCCCCGAAGCCCAAACCCTAGCACGGGGAGCTGCGTCGGGCGAATGGAGCTGCAGGTCTTCTACAGGGCGCTCGTGCTCTCGCTCGTCGGCGGCCTCAGCACCGCCCTCGGTACGGCACCCTCTGACTCTCTCGGCTCCGCGGTTGCTGAATATCCGCTTGCTTGCTTGCCGCCGTGCTGTGGTTCTCTGCCCCTAGGGTTCGGATACTAGCGGGAACCCACTGGCTGCCGCTGGTTGCAGTCCAATTTCCTCGCGCCCAGCTTGGCCTGCGCGGTCTGGAGCAGTGTACTCAATGCGATTGAGTGTTCCGTAGGCTAGGCGTTTCTCGTACTGATCGGTGGGCGAGCAACTAGCAGTCTAGCATAACCATAATTCCGGTGTCTATCAAGTTAGCTCTGTTGCCTCTGTTATCAGCAACAAAATTGTGGAACACCTTCCATTTGGTTTTAACCACTCACTATCAAGTGATGGAAAATTGTTCCTTCACATGTAAAATTAATTGGTTACTTTTCAAGTTTCGAATGGGAACCCAAGTACCACAGTTGCTTCAGTTTAGGACTACTCTTTCTTGGTTAAATCTTACATATAGCTACAAACTGGTCCTCATTGTACTTACTTTTGATATGTGTGTTGCCATGGTGATTTGATGAACTACCTCAGGATAAGCCCAGCCTTACTTTTTGTTGATCAAATTGGAATGTTGACTCAGTTGTGTGCATTTGAGTTTTTATTTAGCAATTTCACCCACTTCATCTGGGTTTGAATTCTCTGTTTCAGGTGCGCTGTTTGTGGTTTTGAATCCTGCCCCTAACCTTAAAGTGCTCGGGCTTCTACAGGTGAAAAAATATCATTTAACTTCAAATATCCTCCAAGTAAGTTGTTTAGCTGCTAAAGCTCTATATGTTGTTCATACTGACTACAGGGTTTTGCTGCTGGACTTATGCTCAGCATCTCCTTTCTAGACTTGGCACACAATGCCCTGAATTCTATTGGCTTCTTGAAGGGGAACCTCTGGGTGAGTTATAACATCCTTATAGTTCTTGAATCCATGCTCATCTAGTGCTCATCTGTCCACATAACAAGGAGCAACTGCAGTTTTTTGCAGGAGTTCTTTTCTTCGGTTTCATTATTAAGTTTATTCCAGAGCCAAATTTTTCGCCACCAGCTAATCCAAGCGAGAAAAAGGTTGGAATGAACAGCCCGTAATGATTTTCTTGGAGCACTACATCAATCTGTTTCCTCACTGAAATAGGAAAGCTGAACAGAATTTAGTTCTCTTTGTTTGGCTTGAGGAAAGCAGACTGATGATGGTGGAACAGGTAAAGATACGATGAGGAAACATCGCCGGCAAGTGTTATTCAGTGGTATTATCACTGCTGTTGGTAAGAAACATGGATTCCTTCTGAAATCCTTCAGTTCCCTTATTTAACCACTAAACAGCAAATGCACCTTGTTGATATTATTTTTGAAATTTGGATGGCATTATTTGGACTGTTTCATTTCTTGCCGTATCTTCTGCCAATAGTTTGTGCAGCTTTGCTTCATTGAGGCTACAATCATTTGAATTGGCAAATACTCTTATTGCAGGAATATGCTTTCATAATGTTCCAGAGGGGATGGCTGTATTTCTGGGATCTGTCAAGGTAATGCCTTAGTACAGTTATGCCAGCATTATAGCTCAAATCGCTAACTGTCTAACCACCCTGAAATAACATTCTTTTCTTTGGTCACTTATCTATTTAATTAGTTCTTAAATGGTTGAACTAGTGATACACTCCCTGTTATTCATCAATGTGCAGATTGAAAAGAATGTCAGTATAATAGCTCAGATGACTAAACCATTAATTAATAACTGAAGCAACAGTTGTTCCTTTAGTTTGTTGTCCAAATAATTTGTTCTTAACGGTTTAATTAGGTGATTTTTTTTCTCGAACTACGTAGGAGAGCTGCGCGTCATTTCATTAAGGTAAAAATAAAATACACGAGTCTGGTTAGACCCTACTCGAGTACAAAACCACCACCAACACACACCCACTCACTTAACTAAAACAGGCGCGCCACAAACTATATTGATGTCGACCAGACAAAACAGCCGGCCTTATACCCCCAAGGCCGGCTCCCTGACCAAGAGTTCCTGGAACTTTCTTGCTCCAGCACTGCACCAAAGATTGCTCTCAGCGCTGACAGCCCTAAGAACCTCCTGGATGCTTGGCGTGGCATTTTCAAACACACATGAGTTACGGTGCTTCCACAGCTCCCAGGCTACCAAAATTATCAGGGAGCTGAGACCCTTCCATTCAGCCTTGGGCACTGACGATATTGCCTTCCACCACCATTTAGAGAAACGAGATGCTGTAGGTTCTGGCGATAGAGAACTGAGACCCAAGTATTGGAAGATTCGAGCCCATATTTGATGAGTGAATACACAGCCAACCAGGATATGATGAATAGTCTCCTCAGCTTGATCACACAAAGGGCAAGCCTCAGGATGGGGCAATCCCCTCTTCGCAAGGTGATCGGCCGTCCAACACCGATTGTGGAAAACCAACCAGATAAAAAATTTGCAACGAGGAGGCGCCCAGCTTTTCCAAATTCTTCTCCAAGGACCAAACCTGATGGTTCCCACAAAGAAGGCAGCCTAAGCTGATTTACTTGTGTATAAACCAGATTGGGCGAGCTTCCAAGTAAATTGATCTGGAACCTGTTGCTGCAGAACCATTCCATCCACCAAGTCCCAGAGCTGCAGGTACTCGATGAGGACTGGTACTGTGCGAGCTCCCCTGATGTCATCTACCCATTTTCTGTTCTGGAGTGCCTGAGCAACAGTACGTCTCTTGGCTGTACGTTTGGGGACAGCATTAAACAGATTGGGGGCCAACTCAGCCAAGGTGTGACCGTTTAACCATCTATCTGTCCAGAACCGAATTTTCTCACCATTCCCTACTATGTCATCTACTGCAATATTGAAGAGGGCCTGAGCCTTGCGGGGGACTTGTACTGGAAGACCAGCCCATGCTCTTGATGGATCGGTTTTCTCAGCCCACAGCCAACGAATCCTTAAAGCGCAGCCAAGGAGTTCTAAGTTATGGATCCCAAGGCCACCATATTCAAGAGGCCGCTGCACCCTTTCCCAAGCCACCAAACAATTACCACCATTAGCCTGCTCCTGGCCTTTCCAAAGGAAGCCTCTCCTTTTCTTATCAATAGCCTTATTTACTTTTATTGAAATTAAGCTCCCTTCTATCCTTTATTTCAATCATCCATTTTAATATCCGTATACATTGTGATTATTTACGAGCTTCCATCTTGCAATGTTGTAGTCTTACATAAATTGTAAATACCCTATGCCTGCATTTTTTTATAGGATGGGTAGATTTATGAACAAATGAAACTTCCTATCAAGTATGTAGAAGTCACAGGCACCCATTAGCTTGTGATGGAAAGTCTGAGGAATCACCATCCCTTCTGAGCTTGTGATCTACTGATCTGTACTCCAGGAACATACTCTATGATTTTGCCTATAGGTTACAGCTTCTGGAATTAGTTGTTTTAGTTCCTTTCAAAATGCTGGTTGTCTTGCTAATTCCTTTTGTATATTCTATTTTTGATTCACTGCAAAGGTGGGATTGATTGTGCCCTGCATTTTCTTCAAACGAGAACTGTAGGACTTATTTCTGCTTGTGCCTAGCTTTGTTAGTTCTGGAAGGGCTCCATCCTAAACCTCATGTTGTGTTCCAAGTGTTTGTATTTATTATGATTTTTTGTGCCTGAATTGATTGCCTTTTGTCACAATAAAAAATTGCAAGGTCTTCATGTGGGTCTAAACTTGGCTGTTGCTATTGCTTTACATAACATACCAGAGGTACAAAATTCAACTATTCAGCTTTTGTCGTTAGATGAGACAGATTATCTAAAGTTTGAATTATTGCCACCCATGATAGCTCTTGGATACATTTGCACATGCAGTAAGATTCAAATGGCACAAGTTTTATCTTTGTTCTAAAGCTTCGAAATTCCATGGTCAATATGAATGCCAAATTCTTATGGTTACCTTTACATGTGCTAATTAATGTATGTCATGGCAAAGGGGCTCACAACGATTCTTAAGTTCTGTGTGATTAACCAACCTCTTAATTTTGCTGGGTATCTGATAATCCTTTTATCCATTTCTTTTCAAACTGTGTGAGTTTTGCCATAATCAGGTAGCATCTGAAGCAGTATTAAAAAGAATATGTTTCTAAATAGTGTTAGCACTTAGCAGAATATAGTTTAAACTTTAAAAGATGCAAAATACAACTGATGAATTCAAGATTTTCATTTTTATGAAGAGAATGTATGCTATGTGCATAAAAATGATAACTGGGCAGTGGTGATACGTTGGCATATTTGTTATGGATGCCATTCAGGTTATTTTCTTCTGTATATTTGTGTCTTTTATTTGGATAAATGTTGAGTTTCATCCAGTTTGGTTTGTTTTGCTCAGTTCAATATACCAACTACTTAACAATTTGGTCTAGACTCCTCTACCTTAATATAATGATACACAGGTCTCATGTGTGTTCGATAAAAAAAAACTACTTACAATTACAACTTTGTTACATTTTCAGGGGGTTGCTGTAGCTCTTCCAATCTATTTTGCTACCAAAAGGTACTATCTCATGCAGAGATTGGTGGTGAATGAAATTTATATCTCACAGCAGCCTTCAGAGATGAATCTAGCGTTGAATATATCTAATTTGCAGGCAAAAAGTTTCTCTAAAATAAATCCTAAAATATCGTCAGTTCAAATCTGCCATGAATGTGAGATATGCATGTTGTCCAAGTTGAGAACTTGACCTAATTATAGAAAGAAATCAGATTCTAGCTAACATTTCCTTCTTTTGTTTGTAATGCTTGCTCATCATATTTTAACTATTCTTGTATTTATTGGACCTTTTGTTATGTAGATGACATTTCTATGTTTTTGTAATGTCGGACAGCAACACTCTCTGGTTTGGCTGAGCCACTAGGAGTGATTGCTGTAGGTATGCTACTTCATGAACCTTCCTATTGTAATTGTGTCCTTCAGACAGAAACTAGACCCAAATCTATCTATGATATGCTACCTTATTTAGCACTAATGTTATTTTGGTTACTGCAGCTTTGTTGTTTCGAAGCAGTTTGAATCCTGACATTCTTGAAGGCCTACTTGGATCTGGTCAGTCCGTTAGTAAATTGAATACTTGTTTTGTTTCCATATCTGAGTACTCTGTTGACTTCTGTGCCTTTGTGCAGTTGGTGGTGTCATGGCTTTCCTCACTTTGCATGAAATGCTACCTCTTGCATTTGACTATTGTGGCCAGAAGCAAGCTGTCAAAGCTGTCTTTGTGGGCATGGCCTGCATGTCTGCAAGGTTTGTTGATTCTTCAAATCAAGTTAAAGGATACCTTAAGTAAACATGATGTCATAATGACCAGTATGGATATGCTTTCTGCAAGAGACTCCTATGTGGCTTTTTATAACTTGTGCACTGCAACTAGTCAAAATCCTCAGTGTTTTTTTATTCACAAGTCACAAGTTTGCTGGCATCAGCTATGGTACTAGTTTCATATGTTTTTAGCGCTAGGTGCTAGGGCAAAGCAAAGAGGCCTATGCCATAGGTCGTCGTCTAAATGATAAAACATACTGGCAGAAATCTCTGCAGCCGTCATCAATATTCACATTTCTAAAGTGCATATAATGGGGCAATTACAGTATGGCCCTATAGGGCTGCGAAGGTGCTGAACTTGCTATGTCACAAAAAAAAGGTGCTGAACTTGCTATTAATGTAGTAGAGCTTGTATTGTTGTTCTACACGCCTTTTAACAGCAGTACACACTATTCTGTTACAATCCTAATTCATGTTTTTTTTAATTGACAGCTTGTACTTCTTGGAAGTCAGCTTACCAAAGGAGATAAGCTTGTAGCATCGAGCTGCAGGTACAGGGAGGTCATCTGAAGCTGAGCTTGTCAGTAGATCCTAATTTCTGGGGGGAGAGTGTGTTCCTGGAGAGGCAACAACACACCAAAACCATGAACAATGGCTACTGCCGCGCTGCCATTGATACTGTCCATTTTACCATGAAAAACTAAAAGGAGGGGGAAACTGCATTTCCCCAGGATGTAATAGCCACATTAGTCGTGGGACCATATGAAATAATTGAAAAAATAAAAGGTACTGTAGTACTCCGTCGGCTCGACAGATGGATGTTAAGTGTTAACCTTTAATTTCTTAAATAAGATCTATTAATCCAACTCATATCAACTAAATTTGCATATAATTTAATTAGTTGTCTATCAAACTTTTCTAAGTTTTGCAAAAAAAAAAAAAAATCAAAATAGGCCTTACAAGGGCTGACACTTGGCAGAGGGAATAGTGAACTGATTGATCACAATACTTGAACTACTATTGATCACAGCTACTTTTTGTTTCAGACGAGTTATCGTGAAACTTTTGAAACGTGATTAACAATAACCATTAAAATAAAGAGCTGTTTTGAATTTGTTCTCTAAGAAATTTGACGCTAAACATGATCACTCGGGGAAAGCTAGAGTTACCTACTTGAAACTAAAATTTTGTGGCTTTCTTCTATAAAATTTAGTTATGGTGAACTAATACCAGTGGGCGAAACATTTCCATATACAATTCATGCAACAAATTTCTATATTTATTAAAGCACACATAGGTATCACTAGAAGTTTGGTATATAAAGAACAGTAAGGCCCCGTTCGGCACGGCTCTACTTGACCCATGAAGCCCTTTTTTGAGGCTTCAGCTCCATGAACAGCTCTATGGGTGGAGCTATAGCCGTTTTGATAAATCGTTTGGCAAAACAGCTTCACGTATAGTTTTTCTTAAAATATGCTCTTAGAGAACGTCATGTAGAATGAGGTGAAGCCAAGAGAAGTCACTATTTTTGACTCCTTCCCACCCCAAAGCTATGTGAGAGCACGTTTTTAAGGGCTTCATCGGTGGAGCCGTTTTATTTTACCCCGTTTGGCAGAAAACGGCTCCAAGCGGCTCCTGAAGCCGTTAGAGAAGCCCTGCCAAACGAGGCCTAATTCTTGCTATAGACGGCCGGACGACGTCTTCCTAGGCCTGCACACAGATTGGCCCAATAGGCAACGGGCCTGCTCCCCTACTCCCCTATCTCTGTGAGACTGCGACGTAACTTCCCCACTCCGTGCCGGCGCGGTGTTCACCGCGTCGTCCCCCCCTCCGCCTCCTGTCACGGCGTCCACTCGTGCCCGTGTCAGGCAGCGCAAAATCGCTCCAGCACCCACCCGCCCTCTGCGCCATCGTCGCTGCCGCGCCCTACCTCATCCACCGAAGCGAGCTGATGCGGCCTTCTCCAGCGCGTGCCCCACTCCACCTCGTGGCCTTCTCCAGAGCGCGGTTCGCCTTCTCCACCGGAGCGACCCGCCGTGGCTTTCTCCACTAGACTTGCCACGGCTTCTCCACCAGAGTGGCAAGCTCTGCGCCACCAACGAGTTCTACATCAGTGAACTCCATGCATTGACAAGCCTCCATTCTTAAGCAGCAAGGAGATGTTGCGCTAAAAGCCAATGTTGCAAACGTATGTTTCAAGTATTTCAAATGTTTAAGAGGTATGTTGCAAGTTTTCTATATCGGTGTTGCAAAAGTAGATCAGGATGATGCACATGTTGCAGTGGCTATACACGTATGTTTCAAGTGTATGTTCTAAATGTTTCATCTGTTTCAGACGTACGTTGGAAGTGTTATATCTGGATGTTGCAAAAGTGGATCTGGATGTTGCATATACATGCATGCTGTAAGCGTGTGTTTTCAAGTGTTTCGGGTGTTTCATACATATGTTGCAAGTGTTTTATTTGGATGTTGCATATGTTTGCAATGGCTACAAATGTGTTTTCTTGATGTTTCAGACGTAAGTTGCAAGTGTTTCACCTGTTTCGGACATATGTTGCAAGCGTTTTGGATGTTGCAAAAGTAGATCTGGTGTTGTACATGTTACAATAGGACCCATGTGCCGTAGTCGTCTGTTGCAACTGCTGAGACATAGACGCGGAGCAGGTGATTGGGACCCACGTGGGCGCAGACGGTCCCGCGTGCTCCCGGGCGCGGGCGTGCATGCGGGAAAGAAGTGGCACTAGAAATAGGGTGGTCCCCGCCTGTGCGAGCCCTGCATACGCGCGCGCGTGAATTAATTTTCTCCATTTCCGGCTGCATCATGCGGCAACGTCTGATGATTCAGCTAAACAGTCTGTGACAGCGTACGATACTAGCGCTTAAGATCGGACGTCTTTGGTCCTCACATCAGTTATATCGATTTATTAGGCATGTTCCTCCGGAATCAGCCCTCAATCTCCAGGTGTCACCCTCGTCCTCCCCGCACTGAACTGGACCGATTGCAGCAACAGCATCAACCCGAATGTCCTCACGGGTCAAAGCTTTTTACAACCTCTTCTGGCATTGGCACAATGAACATCTCTATCTTAACAACTATGTTTGAACTGGTACACGTTTTGGGACTAGATCAACATAGTCCCCAAAGATTAGTGATTCATAATGAAAATCATAGGGGGGAAAAACTGCAGTTGCCCAACACTAACAGCCAAATTTGCTGTCAGACCGTGTCGTGGCAACTTGAAATAATTGGCATTATGTACAACATATATCGCCAGTTGTAACAACTAGCAAGCTCAACGCATCTAGATTAACAGGTGGAATTACACTCCGATGCATAAATGATATATAAAACTACTGAGAATGCAACATCTAAATTGCGTTCAAAAGAATGCTACATCTAAAAGCGACCGCTATCGATGGTGCAGTTTTTATACAGCTCCCCCGCCTGCCCGTCTGGGCCAGACTGTGCGGTTCAGCCGTTCAGGCAATCAGGCCACACGCTGGGTTGACTACAGTGAACTTACAGCCCCTCATGTATATTTGAGATCATATCTCGCACATACTGCATATTCGCTATGCATGTCAGAGTACTTACAGATGCGCATTTACATACATGTAAAAATGGAGCTCTGGAAACCATGCTGTACCACCAAATGAAACCTTTTTCATTGCCCGAATAAATCATGTCATCCATGTGACAAAAACACAAATCCGCTACTTAGCTCCTTTAGTTTTATAAAGCACATATACACATGCATAAATACGCTAGGAATGTGCAATGCTATTACAACAGCATTCATCCCTCTTTCTTCGTACTTTCTGTTCCACTACAGGGCCTTCCAGATATCAGAGGTAGGATGATCTACCAGTAGGGGTCCATTTAATTTCTCTAGCTGAAGAACACTCGACAGAAGTGAAGGAACTATATGTTACAGAAAATGAAATCTGACCTAAGCAAAACTTGCTTTGGCATCGCCAAAAAATGGAAGGCATGGCACTAGTTTCTACCAGCCAAAATGCTCAGAAGAACAAGGTTGAATCTCAATGTGACCAATATACATGTTAATTTCTGTATCCAACACCAAAGTGGAATCTGCTGGCTTGCTTATCATTGAAGGCGTACTCAAGCCGCAGAGGTCCCAGTGGGGAGTCCACGCGGACGCCAACACCGTAGCCATAGCCACTACCTGGCTTTCCACGAGCTCCAGCTGGGTCACCTGAAGAGCCAATCACCACAGATGGTCCAAGTAAGAATTGTGTATACTGTCTAACAGAAAAGCAGCTAATATGTATAGATGGTAAAATGATTTCAAGTAAATTCCCCATTTGTGCTAGACTTCCATTCTGTCAAATGTGTCCTAGAAAAATAAATAACTATCACGTTAGAGTATATACAATATATGAATTACCAGGAACTTTAGGACCAGAACCAAGATCACTGCCATAGTCGCCAAAGATCACGCCTTCCAGTGGCCCAAACTGCATTCAGAGCAAGAATACAAAGTAATCAAATGATGATTTAAAACCTTGATTTGTTCATTCATGAGATCAGAGTAGGTAAAATGTGCATTAAAGTAGCAGTGTAAGACCACCATGAATAGTATGCATTTCTTCAAACGCATGATGGCATTTGCAGACGACTGTGCATACAAGTTCTCAGGGAAAAAAACTCTGCATATAACTGATTTTCAAGCTGCCAATCTATTCAGACATGAAGAACAGGGCTCCAGATTATCTATGCAAAAGGGGCTCGGAACAACTGTTGTACTCAGCTATTACAAAGATAGCATATTATACCGCTCAACAAATATTCTATTAAGACTTGGGCCCAATATGAAAGTAGGGCAGTGAAAGAGTAAAGCAAGCAGGCCAAGTTAAGCTACCACAGGAAATCATTGGGTGATGGTCCAGCAATACAAGATCCTCTTATTTGAGCAACAATCTGCCTGCTCGAAAGAGGTTGCTCCAGCAGCGCTGCAGCAGCAGCAAGCACACCTGCAATCACTGTTCTTCTATAGAGAAATAAACAGCAGCTGCTGCAGCCCAATGTGTTAGTCGCTGAATTCTTACTCTTGGTAGTAGCAGAATTCTTACTCTCATCGAGAGAGGATGACACTAGGAGTTGGGGCAATTTTCTGGTTTATTTCTCACACAAATGCCATGCCAACCTGAGGGGCTGGGGATACATATTTATAGGTTGCTAGCCAGCCAAGAATATGCTAAGATGCTAGTCCTAGATGCTGTCCTAGATGTTGTCCTAGCTGCTAAGATGCTGTCCTAGCCATTCAAGGATGTTGTCATTGTGGCAGCAACAGCCAGCAGTCCTTGTGGCAGCAACAACCAGCAGCCCCACAAAGACCAGACTAGCCCCACAAAGACCAGACCAGCCAACACAACACAACACAGAGACTTATCCATCATAATGTGCTACTAGCACAGCCGGGTGAACCCAATGATGAGACTGGGTAAGATACACTTAACTGGGCTGATAATTTTACTTTCATGTTGGGCCCTAGTAGCAACAATCAACAATGTCACAGAAGAATATTGATCCTGTTTTTGCTAAAATATTCGTTGCTAGATATTCATATTCCAGGACTATTGTGTTTTGCAGAGAATTTTGGGCCCTGCTTCTGGGGGTCTGGCACCTATGAGTAGAAGGTTCCATACAGGCATACAGATAAAAACAGTGTGTGTGTGTGCGCGCACTCGCGCCATGTTCCATATCTAATCTGTATTCAAGTCTTGAACAGTGTGGCAGCATGCCCACCTGTTTATTTCCTTTCTGAGTTAGCTATATTAAATTTTACCTTAACTTGCAAATCATACTAAGATAGTACCATTTATAATCAATTATGTAGATATGTATACCCTTGTTGCCAATACGGCATTATGTGGTAAATTACCACACAGTTGTGTCTGTCATACTTCCATGTGGTCCATTTGACAACAACAAAAAGACAGTAAGGTCGGGAGGAGAAAGAAGTTTACCAGGCGGCATGAAACTTCACCACTACCAACAGCATAAGAGCGCCCAGAACCAACAGCACCTTCTTCGTATCCTCTTACACTATTTGTCCCACCAATTGCAAATGCTTCATGAGGTGGAAAATTTCCCTCCATGTGACCTCCAGAAGCACTACATCATCAAACAAAAAGATTATAAAGAAAGTAACAGAACTAGAAAAACTGTCAGTGCAAGTTCAATGCAGGGATTCAGTTCATGATATTTTTTGCTACAGGCCCCGTACAAGAATGTGATTAAAACAAACCTTAGAAGAAGCCTAGCAGGACCAATTTCATATCCCTGCCTCAAACGTGCTGTCACTCTGTCGAAGCTAAGCCACTCAGGAAGAACAGGCAGACCTTGCTCAATGTTGAAAACAAACTACAAGGAACAGTGATAGCAGGAGATAAGCAATGATGGCTACAAAAATTGCCAAGTTGGGGAAGGAATAAGCATTGATGCCAACCATTGTAGAGCTATGGTCTCCAGAATCTGTGTAGATACTTTCAAACTTAGCTAGCAGAGTATCATCATAATCATGTCCACTGCAATGCAACGAGACAAACATCAGGTGGAAATCTTAACTCAACAATTATACTGACTGTGTTAGAATCTTTCATGTGAAACTAAGGAAATAAGACAATGAGAATGGAGACCTGGCAGTTAATTGGCTGTTATAGAAATCCCTGATGACTGGATTCCCTTTATCATCACGAGCACCAGCATGCTGTGCAGACACAAAACGTCACCATACCGTATGGCTATTCCTAAAAGCATAAGCAGCAGAATAAAAGGGCGTACCCAGTGCAGCTATGCGGGGTCTGGGGAAGGGTGTTAGTAGCAAGCCTTACCCTCGCCTGTGCAATGCGAGGAGACTGCGACTCGAACCCGGGACCTTCCGGTCACGGGCGGTAAGACTCTACCGCTTGCACCAGGCCCGCCTAAGCAGCAGAATATTTACCTGGAAAATTAAGCCAAGTGTCCCACTCCACTTGGGTCTGAATGGTCGACTATATTCCAAGCCAGCAGTAACACGTCCAATTGTTATGGGCCCATGGTCAGGATGATCACCACCATGGACAAGTGTTCCAGGAGTCCTAGAGTTCTGGTACGAGAAATAGTTATAAACATATGCATGGTGCTAACTAGCGGAACTGGAAAGCAATGTCATAGTAAAGGCAAATACCTGAACCATAACAGTTCTGGAGGTTCTCTTATTGTCGCCATCAATCCAAGGGTCAGTAAAGTTCAATCTAAATATTGAATCGATTTGCCCCCTTTCCAAAGAGAGATTTAATTTCTTGTTCCTCCCAAAAACATTCCGATGTGAATATGCAAAGCTGCACTAAATTGAGTAAAGTTTAGACTATGTGCAACATAATGATTTTATTCTAGACATAATGATTTTATTCTAGACATATTACAAGTTCAGAAATCAGAATATATATTTAGCAAATTGGTTTTTGTTCGCAAAAACTTGTCACTTTGGTTTTTGAGGTGGCATTTTCCCACAAATGGCACTATATGTTGTTAATTGGCAGCAGTGTTAGAGAGATGGCTACTCATCCTAGAGAGGAACGATGTAAAATTTAAAATTAGAAACTCTTCCATGTTCCATATACATGGAGCTAAAACCACAATTAATTTGGATTGGTATATTGTATTGTGTACAAAAACACTGAATTACATATTATTATAATCATAAGCATGTCAGTTTAAGAATAGATTTCCACTGAAGTTTAAAGCCAACTAACAAACAGATTCCAATGTCCAAATGCTATAAGTTTTGGTAAACCTTTAAGAAAGGAATTTATTAAGCGAGCACATGCGGCTAGCGAACTAGTAAACAGCTGGCCTGGGGTTTAAAGTTAACGTATCTGATGTCAAACAAGATCAATTACATATTCGATTTAAAAATCATCAGCTATCTGTTCAGTTACACATCATGAGTTCATCACCAATAATTGACAGATTCTAAAAAAAAGTGCTAACTTTTCTTGATCCCAAAAGGCTTGGGCTTTGGAGGATAAGCTTATAGCTTAAGCTGCTCCGAATGTGGTGGCTACAGGACAATTATGATGATAATCATAGCCCATAAGAGCCCATCAAGCCCTCCAAACATTTATAAGAACCTTAGATAATGAGGATTCTTGATAACATTAAGCTGAACGAAATAAGGGCGAAAGCCCATTGGTGGCCTGTTTGGAAGAGGGGCATAACTCCAGGAATATTAAGCACTATCCAACTTTGTTCAAATTTGAATTTAGTCCCAAGGATTTGGAGCACATATGCCCTCTCGAACATAGGCCCTAGTTTAAGCACAGTGCCACTTTTTCAAAACCAACACAAACAATAGTCAGCAAGGAAAACTTCCCTGGGAATCTTTGATGAATCATGATGACATTGAGCCTATGCAGAGAGTAGAAACTAACTAGCGGAAATAGCACCAGAAGCAGAAAAAGAGTAGATGTATATACATACATCTTAATGACTTAACCTGTGAAAGAATAACATACTGACCTGCCAATAAGTCCAGAAAGGGGTCCATTTGTTATCCTGCAGAAAAACATAATGTCATATAATCAGCAGAAGAATAACAGTTTGACTGTACTTTGCGCATGTGCTACAACTTTGGAGGTTAAAAGAGGAAAAAGACAGCGCATACCCAGCACTAGTGACTCAGAACAGAATTTCTTAAAGCATAAAGTCACTGGCTACACCCATTTATGCAATCTCTAAACTGAGCTCAATTAACAAAGCATTGTTCGTACTCACCCACTTGAAATTCCACCACCAGCAGAGAAACCACCCGAAGGGCGTTCAACAAGATTCATGACAAGGTCCACTTTATTAGAATCTGCAGACGATTACAAAGCACATGAACATTAGCACTCATAAGAGATCAGATCTACTTCAAAAACAATGACAGAACTTAAAAATAGCTTCACCTCCAACTGGCTGTGGAATTATAGTAACATCCTCCATGATTCCCATAGTGAGTATTGTTTCTACATCCCTTTTCACTTGTGCCCTATTGTAAGCCTGTTTAATTTTAAATAGACAAGATTAATTTGAAGTTTTAACAGGCAACATTAATGGTAGAGCATAAGACAACAGGACATGGATAAAAAGGTAAAATCTATATACTATTGCGACATGATAATTTTTAGATGATTGCTAATATTATTTTGGTTCAGAATGCTGCAGTGCTCCTTTCATAATGTTTTAAGTCCAAAGCACCCAGTCTGATCCCAAATATTACTATGAAAATGACAGAATATACACAATCATAATGAAAGAAAAGGGGGACTTGGTTATACGCTATACGGGCTCCAAGTCTCCAACCAAACTTATATGCCTATATTGTAACTAGCGCTGGTGATTCTGGTATTAGCCTTTGCATAGAAATTTCAGTGCATGAATGATGCAACACAGCACATGAATTCCGAAAAATGTGAAGTTAGAAGGGTTAGCATTTCATGCAACATCTAGAAGAACATGACTGAAAGATGATATTTGCATTTCAGAATATCATCAATAGTCCTCCTGAGGTATATAGAACATAAATAGACAGATCGAGAAAGGCACTTCTGAAAATGCGCTCTGACCTGCCCTTTCTTGGTGGTAAGCTGCCGAAGGATGGTTTCCGGCTGTGTTTTTCCAAGAGTTGGTTCACCACTACGACAAGGAAAGGAAACAGAAGGATGGAAAACATAAGAAACATAGAAATTTAAGCACTTTAATACAGTGTTTGATCAAGAAATCTCAGAGAAAAGATAGGTTCTCACGTCTTCCTGTCTAGAAAGCGAATGCTAATGTTATTAACCTCAGCTTCTGAAACCTGCAGCCTCAGAACCCCTCCAGAAAGTATCTCAGCATATGAAACCTGTATCCAAACCAAGGAATCATTGTGATTTGTCATTTATCAATGTACCTCTATACACAATGAATAACCAACAAATCCTATGCTGCATGCTCAGTGGCCCACATATTTGACATTGGTAAGATATATACAATTTGATCATGAGGTCGCAATCACATCTGCCCGTACATGTATCATCTCCCACACCTCAGGGCTACCAATGCCACCTGCCTTCTCTTCCTATGGAAAACTCCTGTTTCTCTCAACCACGTTGTTCCATGCCATCTCTATCATTTTTTTTTCTTTCTCGAACGCGCAGGAGAACTGCGCATCAATATATTAAGAAGAAAAAGGAGGGGGAAAAGAGCCCCAAAAAACTGTTACAAAAACACAGAAACAAAAAACTGTTACAGAGAAAAGGGTCTGCAACCCACCCTAAGAACCCAAACTACGTTGTGTCTCTAGAGAACTATAAGGCAGGACCAAAAAACCACCGGACCCAAAAAGAGCTAGGAGGTAGGAGCCAGGGCAAGGAGATAAGAAACTCCTCGAGCCCCTGCTGCTGCCCACTGCTGAGCTTCTTCCTTAAAAGCTGAGAGGACCCTAGCTAGGCTAGGAGTTCCACCATCAAAAACACAATGGTTTCGATGCTTCCAAATTAACCAAGCTCCCAAAATAATAATGGAATTGAACCCCTTCTTCACTTGACCAGAAAGCCTGCTGCAAGCACCCTCCCACCAGTCCACAAAAATCAAATCAACCATTTGTGGAGCCACATCTTGCAGTCCAAAAGATTGCAGAATGTTGTACCATGTTTGCCGGGCGAAGACACAAAGTCCACTAATCCTCAAGCTCGACGCAAACAAAAGCAACAGTTGGGTAGCCTTGCACCAAACCAACCCCACTACTGCCACTCCGACCACTCAACTCCTCAACATCCAGTACGAAGCAGGAGGCAGCCCTCCCATTGCATCCGTCTTCCCCTAATGCCTGTGATCTTCCCTGGAGTATTCTGATTTGTTTGCAGGGTTTGACCCATACTGGATTCAGGAAACCCCAAAACCAGGTTGACTCTCAATCTTCTACTCCACCTCTCTCAACTAGAGTATTCTGATTTGTTTGCAGGGTTTCATCTATAACGGATTCAGGAAATCCCTAATCAGCTTCTGTAAGCAGAGTGGTAGGAGTAGGGGATTGGCAATCAATCCGGTAAGAATCAGAGGAAGAACAAGCACAGAATTGGGGAAGGTTGAGTTCTAAACGAATAGCAGCGGAGTGCTTGTTTTACAAGTTGTTCATCTTCTTTTTCTCTCCTCCCCCTCTCTCTCTCTCTCCGATTACATATACTGAGATGACACGGCACTCTCGCCAGGTGATGGTCGGTCACTTCCACTCCGGCCCATGGACTCGTATGTTGGGCCTACAGTCACGCCCTCCTCGACGCGGCCCATGCTCGGCTTGAATGTCGCCGTGAACATCAGGCTGGCCGTCGTCGTTCCCGTTATCCTCCTGGGTTGCTGATGTAGTGGTACGGGTGCTGACATCCCCTCCCCGATAAGAGAATGCTTGCCCCCAAGCAGGTGCTCGTGGAAAGCGTTGGCGCAGAGTCTCCATATCTTCCCAGGTGGCCAGAGAAGATGGCATGCCTAACCACTGGATGAGAGCTTGAAGACGGACATCAGCACCGACCTTGGCGACGCGTTTCTGCAGCACGTGCTCAGGAACCTGCAAACCATCGAGTGAAGAGGGTAATGGTTGAGCAGTATGGGTTACCTGTACCGCCACCTTCAATTGAGAAACATGAAACACCGGATGGATGGAAGATGAATCCGGTAGCTTTAGCTTGTAAGCCACAGTTCCAATTTTGTCAGTGATCAGGAAAGGGCCAAAGAAGCGATAAGCAAGCTTTTGATTGGCTCGTGCTGCGATGGAACTCTGGACATAGGGTTGCAACTTGAGATAAACCCATGTACCCACGCTGAATGAACGTTCAGTGCGGTTCTTGTCAGCTTGAGTCTTCATCCGGTTCTTGGCACGGCTAAGCTGGTGTTGTGTATGAGAGACTGCATAGCTGATTTCTGCTGAAGCCAGTCATCAAGAGTATCAACTGAGCAGGCAGAGGTGGAATCAATACCGAGCTGCCTGGGAGACTGACCATACAAGGCTTCAAATGGAGATCTGTTAATTGCCGAATGCCAAGTTGTATTATACCAGTATTCTGCAAGATGGAGCCAATCAAACCACTTGCTCGGAGCAGCATTAGCAAAACAGCGGAGGAAGGTTTCCATGCATTGATTCACTCGTTCCGTTTGTCCGTCAGACTGCGGATGATATGCGGAACTAAGACGAAGGTCGACTCCTGCCAAACGGAACAACTCACGCCAAAGCTGGCTAGTGAAGATTCGATCACGATCTGACACTAAGGCTGTTGGAAGACCATGGAGACGATATATGTGCTGCATGAATATCTTAGCAACAGATAGTGCACTGAATGGATTTTTCAAAGCGACAAAATGACTATACTTGGAGAAGAGGTCAACCACTACTAAGATGCAATTGAATCCATGAGAAATTGGTAAACCCTCAACAAAGTCCAAGGATATAACCTGCCATGCAGCCGAAGGAGTTGCCAGTGGCTGTAACAACCCTGGATATTTGACTCGTTCTGGTTTGGCTTGCTGACATGTTGGGCAGCTCGGGACAAAGGCAGTAATAAGTTTCTTCATGCCGGGCCAAGCAAAAAGCGACTGGATGCGTTTGATGGTTGCTGGCACGCCTGAATGTCCCCCCACTGGCGAACTGTGCAGTGCTTGAATCAATTTCTGCTGCAAGGCAGGGTTGTTGCCGACCCATATGCGATGCTTGAACTTAAGTAGCCCCTTGTCAATGGTGAAATTGGGTACAGCATTAGGACTTGTGGTTAATTTAGCAAGCAAGGCAGTTGCATGGGAATCTTGCTGATACCCGGAGATGATTTCATCCAACCATTGCGGTGTAATCACAGAAATGGCACAGCAGGTTTCCTCAGGATGTGCCCTGCGAGACAGAGAATCAGCGGCACTATTATCACATCCCTTTTTATAGATGATGCGGTACTGCAGCCCCAATAACTTGGTGAATACCCGCTGCTGCCAAACTGTATGCAATCGCTGATCATTGAGGTGAATCAATGCTTTCTGATCAGTCTAGATGACAAACTCGGCCAACTGTAGGTAAGAGCGCCACTGATCCACTGCTATCAAGATGGCTAGATATTCTTTTTCATATGTTGAAAGGCCCTGATTCTTGGCGCCCAATGGCTTGCTAACATAAGCGAGTGGGTGGCCATTTTGCAACAGCACTGCCCCTACACCAGTCTGACAGGCGTCAGTCTCAATGGCAAAGACTTGTGAGAAGTCTAGAATCCCCAGAACCGGTGCTGAACAAAGAGCTTGCTTCAGAGCATCGAACGCCAATTGGTGTTCAGAGGTCCACACAAACAAGGTGTGTTTCTTGAGCAAGTTAGTGAGCGGCTTCACTATAACTGCAAAATTGCGGACAAACCCACGTAGCTCACGAACGTTGGCTGGCTGCGGCCACTCTTGAACCGCTGTAACCTTGGCAGGGTCGGTATGAACGCCGCCACCACTTAAAACATGGCCCAAATAGTGTATCTCATGTTTGGCAAATTGGCACTTCTTGAGCATGACAACCCAGTGGTCTTTGGCGAGGAGATCTAGCACTTGTTGTAAGTGTTGTAAATGTTCCTCATAGGAAGAGCTGTACACCAAAATGTCATCAAAAAATACAATGACGCACTTGCGCAGTATAGGGCTGAGAGTGACATTCATGGCGCCTTGGAAAGTTTCCGGTGCACCAGAGAGTCCAAAGGGAACCACAGTAAACTCATAATGCCCTGCATGTGTCGAGAAGGCAGTCTTATGTTCTTCACCTGGTTGCAATCATATCTGGTGGTAACCAGAGTATAAGTCCAAGATTGAAAACCATTTAGCGTGTCCAAGCTCATCCACTAACTGATCGAACACTGGGATTGGATACACAGACTTGACTGTTAAGGCATTCAAGTAACGATAGTCAACACAGAAGCGCCATGAACCATCCTTCTTCCTGACAAGCAGCACGGGTGAAGAAAACGGTGAAGAGCTAGGTTGGATTAAGCCTTGAGCTAGCATACTCTGAACTTGTGTGTCAATTTCGTCCTTCAGTTGGGGTGGGTATAGATAGGCTCGAATATTGACAGGTGTAGCACCACTGATTAGCGGTATAGCATGGTCACATGCGCGCTTGGGTGGTAAGCTGTCAGGCACCGTGAATACTTGTGAAAAAGCATCCAGAATATGCTGAATGTCTGATGGAAGCACATCTGACCGAACTGAATTGGACTGCATCTCAACTGAAAGCAATTGGAAAACCATGTCAGTTGTAGATGTGGCGGAAAGCCCATGAAGCACCAACTGAGTACCATCACAAGGTATAGAGATCCATTTAGCCTTCCAGTGAATTTCCATTGGGCTGTATCGCTCGAACCAGTCCATACCCAGAATTAGGTCGTAAGAGTCCAACTGAAGAATCTTTAAATCATGCTGGAATGGGTGACCCTGCAAACAAAACTGACAGTCCAAAATAGCAGATGTGCAGCTCAAAATCTGTCCATTAGCAATTTTCACTGAAGCATTCACAGGAAGCCGAGCCAGCTGATGCAACTGATCATCAATGGAAGCAGCTAGAAATGACGAAGAACTCCCAGAATCAATCAACACGACAACAGAAAGCCCATGAACAGTGTCGTGAAACCGAATAGTGCGTTGGCCGTGGGATCCCATGCGAGCATCATGTGACAAGGCCAGAAGTAATTGCTCATCAGGTTCATCAGTATCTTCAGAGGCTGGCTCAATATTGAAGAAATCCCAAACTTCTTGCATTGCTTGCAGTGAAACAGTAGCAGCACATTTGTGTCCTCTCACCCATTTCTCGACGCAGACTTCACAGAGACCTCGGGCACGGCGGTAGGCCCGAAGTGTTGAAAGCTTGTCATCTTGGCCCTTGGCAGGAGCCTTGTTGCCCATCACCTTGTCAGCACCAGGCAACCGCGACTGTCCTAGCGCCAGTTTGTGCTGTGGTCTGAACCCCATCCTGGTGGTGTCAGTCTTCGGAGTCAAAGCCGCCACTTCCTCCTGCAATAGAGCCAACGAGTACGCGGTATCGAGAGTAGAAGGACGCTGCAATGTAACAACCATCCTGATATCATCCCGTAACCCATCCACGAAACGAGTGGTGAAGTAATGCAGGTCAGGATTGGGTTGATAGGCTTTAAGCTGATCAAAGAGGGATGAAAAGCAATCGACATAGTCAGTGACAGTGGAAATTTGGCTTATATGGAACATTTGGCGCACAAGCTTGTCACGCTGATCACGGCCAAAGCGATCGTGGAGCATTTTGCAAAAATCAGGCCAGGGTAGGCGATCTGGTTGGGGAATGGACTCGATCCAGCGACCGGCTGCTCCACGAAAGTTCATGCGAGAAATTTTGACCCACTGGGGTGGAGGTACTTCATACATGTCGAAGTAATCCTCGGCCTGAGATATCCATAGACGAGTAGTCTCCCCCTCATAGATGGGAAAATTTTGCTTGGGTAGTTTGCCGAGATTGGGTGGGTTAGGATCGGGAGGATGGTTACGAGTATGAACATCATAAGCTTCTCCATGAAACAGCGAAACCTCAGGTTTGGGCTCGGAATGCATACCATTGGCCGGGGAATGGGATTGGGAAGAATTCTCCCCAATACCATCCGCCCGTGGAGTTGTTTCGACGTGGTGCCCGCTGGGCCGAGCAGCCGTGAGATCCGCAGATGAACGCGCGGCGGTATGCTCCAACGCCGAAGGTGGTTGGGAGATCAACCCTGTCGACGTCGTAGCGTTGTCGAGGAATGATCGATCCCAATATTTTGTGAGTTTGTCCACCTTCAGCTTGAGATCATCCATAGCACCTTCGGAGTCCTGGCGCCAGCTCTCCAGGGCGCCCGCGACCTTCATGACGCCGGAGACGCGGTCGTCCTGACGCCGTTTAGCTTCGGCGATGAGGTTGTTCTGGCGCAGCTCGGAGTCGGTGATGCTGCGTTCCTAGGAGAGGTCGGAGTCGGCAAGGCGTTTGTTGAGGGAGTCGTCGACCTCGGTCAGGCGTTTGTTGAGGGAGTCGTCGACGTCGGCGAGGCGCTTGGTGACGAATTCGTCGACGTCGGCGAACCGCTTCTCCAGGAGGTGGCTGCTGTCGATGAAGCGCGAGTCCAGCTTCCGATCCGCCTCAGCGAATTAGTCCTCGATATGGGTCTTCTGCTCGTTGAAGAGACGATGCATCTCGTCCAATAGGAGCTTGGAGTCCGGGTTAATGGCGCCGCGACTACAAGCGAAGCGCGTGTAGTGAGGATGCGGTGGCAGCGGCGGTGGCGGCTGACGATCAGCGCCGGTAATCGAAACGGATTGCTCACGTGCCCGGGAATTACGAAAATCGGGATCGAGGGGAATCGATTCGATCTCTACGACCCAGGGCGTTTGTAAGCTATCGACGAATCGAAGATAGGACAAAGGATGGCGGAAGAAATCGAAGGAGGAATCAAAGGAAGCTGATACCAGATGTAAGCAGAGTGGTAGGAGTAGGGGATTGGCAATCAATCCGGTAAGAATCAGAGGAAGAACAAGCACAAAATTGGGGAAGGTTGAGTTCTGAATCGAATAGCAGCGGAGTGCTTGTTTTACAAGTTGTTCATCTTCTTTTTCTCTCCTCCCCCTCTCTCTCCGATTACATATACTGAGATAACATGGCACTTTCGCCAGGTGATGGTCGGTCACTTCCACTCTGGCCCATGGACTCGTATGTTGGGCCTGCGGTCACGCCCTCCTCGACACGGCCCATGCTCGGCTTGAATGTCGCCGTGAACATCAGGCTGGCCGTCGTCGTTCCCGTTATCCTCCTGGGTTGCTGATGTAGTGGTACGGGTGCTGACAGCTTCGTCCACAATCTTCTCCTCCTTCACCTCAAAGTTTTTTCATTTATGTCAAATTTTATTCACCTATTCGATCAATTTACCTTTGTTTCCTATTTTGTATGTAAACATCCGCGCAAACTAGGCATGTCTGGTTTCCCATTCTTCCCTTCTCTATCCTAATCACCTTAGTTTCCTGCTCCGTGGTACCAATTATTTCAGTTTCATCTTTGTTTCTGTGTGGTACAGGTATGAGGCATTGTAGGAGCTAAGCACAAGCAACTATGTGACAGAGAAACACAAATTCGGATTACCTACCAATCCAGTTAGGCCACGCTCCTGATACCATCCATTGACGGATTTGATCACTTTATCCAGATGCCTAATGTTAATAATTTTTCCTGCACATTGTAACTCCAAAGACTCAATGGGTTGTGCAGACAATAGTGCACATAATCTGTTGACAAATTGAACATTATTTGAGAACAAGAAAGGACATGTTTACCATGGCGATCACGAAAAGCATCTTCCAGGAACTTGGACGGTAGCATGTTGGCGCCCTCACATACCAGCCCATGGAAGTCTTGGTTCGGCTCCACCTGAAACCAAAAGAAGAACCGAAATTGTGCCTTCATTAGCTCCAGAAATAAGGAAAGAAAGTGGGGACAACAAAAGGATTGAGGATAGAAGGAGGACCTCGAAGACGAGGCGAATGCCATCGCGGGTGTCGACAGCGACGGGCATACACGACCGGAACAGTCCGCTCTCGACGATGCGGTGCACGTCCTCCTGCACCTCCCACACGGTGAGCGCGGCGTTGGGGCGGCACGCGCGCAGCGCCGCGGCGGCCGCGGCCTCCAGCTCGGCCCGCTCCAGCGGCTCCCCGTCCTTCCCCCGCACCGCGACCTCGCTGATCAGCACCCGCTCCTCGGGCCCTCCGCCATCCTTCCCGTGCCGCCGCGGAGGCGGGGGCAGGGCCGGGTCGGCCCGCGCGACCGGGACGCGCGGGAGGCAGGAGCCCAGGCGGCGAGCGGCGACGTCAATGGCGCGACCGATGTGCGCGAACGGGAGCGCCGCGGAGAGGAGCGCAGGCGACGGGGACGGGGACGGGGACGGCGCGGAGGCGGACGCGGACGGGAGCTTGACGCCGGAGGAGACGAAGCGGACATCGCGACTACGGCCCATGGCGGCGGCGCAGGAAGGTCCGGTTAGGGTTCCGAAATGGAGCTGGAGTAGGGTTTAGGGCTTTGGCGACGAGGACGAGGACGAGGGCGAGGGCGCGAGGGCTTCGTCCGCCATGGGCAGTGGGATGCGGGAGCGGAGATGGTGCTGTACTCTGGTTTTCGTGTTAAGAGTTGAGACTCCAGAGGCCAACGAGAGCCGTTCGCGTTCGATGTGGTCGCCACTCGCCAGGCCCATTCGTGAAAGTTTTTTCTTGAGCCCGTTGGATTTTTGGATATGATGATGAACAATCTCCGCGTCTGTCCATGGTCTCCTCCTCCGTTCAGCCTGAACTTTGAACCATCTTTAGTCACCATCGCTGGTGTCACGATTAGCCATGACCAGAGGTATTAACATATTCTTTTATTGATCACGTAAAAGATTTACATGATTTTTTATTAATATAGAGAAAAGTTTAATACAACGCGTCTTAACGACACCCTAGGTGTCAAAATAGATTATACATAGACACTTCGACCCCCTAGTGTACCGCAAACTGTTCATATTTGCTAAGTTCAGGAAAAAAAAAACCTCTAGACTGCATTAAACATTAGTCCGAGGCTTTGTGCATTACACAAGTTTAGTTAATTTAATTTAACTTTCAGTGATAAATCATACTCCCTTCATCCTAAAATAAACACACATTTCGCTTATCGAGGAGTCAGACTTTTTAAAATTTAATTGAAAATATAGAAAACACTATCAACATTTGTACCTCCAAATAAGTTTGTTATAAAAATATATTTCATATACTTTAATACATCATAAAACATTAGTAATTTTTTATATATTTTTAGTCTTTTGACTCCTTGAAAAATGTATTTATTTTAGGAGAGAGAGAGGATGTCAGTTAGCAGCAAGATGTTTTTGTAACCTGTCAAATCTCCTAGACGTTCGCAAAAACATGGTGTAGGTATATGTGTCATTATTTTGTTTCAGAAAAAAAAAAAGAGTTACTCCCTTCGAGATAGTGAAAATGGATGTTACTTTGTTAGAAAGTGTAGGTTATGATAATTTTTCTACGCCCATTTTTAATATATTTTTTTTATAAAATTTATATATCACTAAGTCTAGCATCACTCAGCAAAACCAAACAATCTAGAAGCAGAAGGGGCGTGTTTCTCTATTTATTTCGGTTTTCGAAAACCGGTGACTCCTCGTTCCAAATAAAGTGCGTGTACGTCTCCTTTAATTTTTGTAGTGTCGTTCTTTTAGGAAAGGGTAAAGTATATTTTTCAACTCTCAACTCACGCCGAAGTTCGATTTTTAACCTTCAACTATGAAACCGGTTAAGAAACACTCTCCAACTATCAAAACCGGACAAATTTGGTCATCGGCTAGTTTCAAAAGTGGTTTTCTATTTTCGGGAGACGCCAAAAATTTATATTATTTTTTTAGCATCTTAACGTCCTCAAATGAAAAAACTCAAAACTACAAAGTTGTAGATTTTATTGAGAACTACAACTTTAGTATAAAAATATTTTCATTTAACTCCATACAAATAATATATTAGTGATCTGATGCGGCAAGCGCTAGTAGACGATTATTATGATGCTGAAATTTTATATTATTTTTTTGAGCATCTTACTGTCCTCAAATGAAAAAAAAAATTAAAACTATAAAGTTGTAGATCTCATCGAGGTCTATAATTTACATATAAAAATTACCTTCATCCGACATCGTATTGAAGGGTTATGATTTTTCGAAATTTGAGTCTCGTCATGCCATAGTATTGTTTTGTCGCGTAACGAGACTTAAATTTTGAAAAATCATAACCCTTCAATACGATATCGGATGAAGATAAAGTTTATATGTAAATTGTAGATCTCGATGAGATCTACAACTTTATAGTTTTAATTTTTTTCATTTGTGGACAGTAAGATGTTCGAAAAAATAATATAAAATTTCAGCACCATAATAATCGTCTATTAGCGCTTGCCGCATTAGAGCACTAATATATTATTTGTATGGAGTTAAATAAAAATAATTTTTATACCAAAGTTGTAGCTGTCAATGAGATCTATCACTTTGTAGTTTTGAGTTTTTTCATTTGAGAACGTTAAGATGCTCAAAAAAATAATATAAAATTTCAGCGCTTCCCGAAAATAGAAAACCGCTTTTAAAACCAGCCGAGAACCAAATTTGTCGGGTTTTGATAGTTGGAGAGTGTTTCTTAACCGGTTTTATAGTTGAAGGTTGAAAATCGAATTTCGGCGCGAGTTAAGGGTTTGAAAGTGTACTTTACCATTTAAGAAAACAATAATCGCACAAATGGATTCGTTTGGTTAAATGCGGCCTTTTTCTTTAGAACGATACAGGCGTTCAGCCTCGTCTCAGCGATGGGCTGAGATTTAAAAAGGCCACCAAATAAAGCTTAAATCTGAAAATCTCACGGGCCAAATTAGGCAGTCAGGACCAAACAAAAGCATACTGGCAATGAGAGAAGTGTGAGTTTATTCTGGTAGCGGTGAGGAAAATTTGAAAATTTCGATGGCAACGAGGGAAGAGGTAAATTATGCGATGGCAGTGAGGGAATTGGCTCTACTTAGAATCGCCAGTGCCAGCGGCCTGACATGCTGATCATTTTCTTTGGCAGACAGTGATGAAGCTAAAGCAAATTAGAGAGGGTGCACTAGCCAGTGCAGTCTCATAGCCGGGTGCATATATAGTGAAATTCTAATCAAACTCATTATTTTTACAATTTTTAGAGGTGCATGTGCCCCTATACACATGTAGGCAGCTTCGCCCCCGCTGACAAAGGACATGACGCTGATCCGTCGTCTTCAAGTCTTTCGTGGTAGAATCGTCTAATCTAATGCCTCCCAGGGTACTTGTTTTTCATTAGACACTAATTACTCAAGAGAGAACACTAAATTACGTAATTCCGTCGAGCACACTCTAAGGGAGAATCTAAAAATGCATATTTTTCCATCAGGATCACAAATGAGAGAATAAAACTTATAACATTCTTAAGTCATTTCTTACATCGCTTTAATACAACATCAGAGTTATGAACAATTTAATTTAACAGCGGAATATAAATATGTGATCAGAATTACAACGGAAATAAATATCTATCCATAACATGATGAAGCATTGATATATAAGCTATGACAACAGATTATGCAACTTCTATTTATAAAAACATTTAGTGAGAGTTATAAATAAAAACTATGATCGCAGCGTAAAGAAATCATCTCTGAGCCCACCAGGAGGAATCCACACACATGAGTCAGCTCTGGCATCCACCTGTCACCTGCAACGGGGGGAAATAAAATCCTGAGTACTAAATTGTACTCAGCAGGACTTACCCGATAGGAGGAATAAAAGACTCCAAGAATATGTATGGCTATCCGGCTTGTGGGTTTATTGCATCTGCAAAAGCATTAGTAAACGTGCATCCTTATATTCAATTTTTTATTAGCAGTCATCATTAATTCATTAACTAACCATTCTATGTAAGCACATGTACTACTTTCAAGCAGGTGTTAAGCAATCAGAATTATTTTACCATCTTTTATCTTCTAGTTCTTACTATGGTGCTTGACTGTAGATAAGTTGTACCGGATCACCCGACGATTCACGAACCAATGTATCCCAGCTGGGTACCCTGAAACACAGGCCCCGCTTGTACCCCAGGTACAAGCAGGACCAACCCACTACCCTCCTGTCAGGAGTCTAGGTCCCCGTCCAAACCTGGACTTCAAGCCCCCGCTCCTAAGTCCCAGACTCAATGCGGTGCTTAGACCTCCACCATCTTCATCTCCAATCAGTCTGTCCGAAAAAAGCCGGAACCCATGACAAGACAACAATGAACCTTCCCGCACCCATACACAAGTATGTGTTCAGGATAATAAGTCTGTGACCTGACTACCATCCATTGCAACGGCAGGTCCTTAACCAACATGGGCGAAACAAGTGCAGCCCGAGCCTCGCTCGAATGCCAAACCAAGTCCAGATCCAAAATTCTATTCCGTTCGGTCTCCAATTATCATTCATATATATTTTTCTAGGTGATAATAATATAATAGCAATAATAATATTTTTTCTATCTCTCGCGAGTGACAGATAATCACTCGACTTTTACCGGAGTCCTGTAGCATAGCAATCTACGCGATCATGTCATGCTAGTAAGACTCATAGGATAAGGATATATATATATATATATATATGCAAGTGGTTTTCATTCAACTCCTTAAAACTTAATGCGCAAACATAATATAAAGTGCAGAAAAATAGGGGTTATATATCGAGGCTTACTGGGGTAAAATATAACCAAAAGTTAGCATTCCATCTTCGTGACTTGATCCCTAGCACCATCTTTTCAGCTACTCCAGTTGATTCCACGATCCATCATCGTTCCTAAATGATATGCATAAATGCAATGCACGCGTAAGTCAAACAGGCATACACAATGGTACTTACAAGCATGAAAGGACAAGCAACGTGTCACTGTGGTTAAACTAGGGTATAAAACGTTCTAGATTCAACTCTCATCTTCTCCCAAACGGCTTTCTTGTGACTTAACTATTATCAAACCATCACAAGTTATTAAAATCACCACTTTGCATTTATACATACAAGCAAGAGCTACCATAACATGCCAAGCGCACTTCTACTTACTAACAAAGTAAAGCAACATTACTCAGGTAACATGTAAACAAGTAGCATATAAAGCATTTATTAACATTATTCTAAACATCTAGTATATACATAAAAGCTTAATTACATGCAACGTGAAATTAAAATCAATAACGCATATGGCATCATGAAACTTATACAATAACATTTTATTAAACACTAGAGCCCTATTATGGGTTAATAGAACACATCAATAGTAAAATTTCATAGCGGAGCCATATTTTCTATTTTATCTTCTTTTAATAATTGTTTTAAAAAACCACTAAACAAGCATATTATGAGATAAATCAATAACTCAGTAATTAAGCATCCACTAAACCAAA